ACGGTAATGGAGAAAAGGGAGACGGAAAAGGCAAAAAAAGCGGAACGGGAGACGGAAAAGGCAAAGAAATCGGAAATAGTAATAGAGAAAAGGGAGATGGAAAAGGCAAAGAAAATGGAAACGGTCATGGAGAAAAGGGAGCCGGTAAAGGCAAAGAAAGCGGAAAGGGAGACGGAAAAAGCAAAGAAAGGGGAAAGGGAGGCGGAAAAGGCAAAAAAAGTGGAAAGGGAGGCGGAAAAGACAACGAAAGCGGAGACGGAGGAAAGGGAGGCGGAAAAGACAAAGAAAGTGGAAACAGTAATGGAAAAAAGAGAGATGGTAAAGGCAAAGAAAGCGGAAAAGGAGACGGAAAAGGCAAAGAAAGAGGAAAGGGAAGCGGAAAAGACAAAGAAATCGGAAACGGTAATAGAGAAAAGGGAGACGAAAAAGGCAAAGAAAGCGGAAAGGGAGACGGAAAAGGCAAAGAAAGCGGAAACGGTAATGGAGGAAAGGGAGACGGAAAAGGCAAAGAAAGCGGAAAGGGAGACGGAAAAGGCAAAGAAATTGGAAACGGTAATAGAGAAAAAGGGGATGGAAGAGGCAAAGAAAACGGAAATGGTCATGGAGAAAGGGGAGACGGTAAAGGCAAAGAAAGCGGAAAGGGAGGCGGAAAAAGCAAAGAAAGGGGAAAGGGGGGCGGAAAAGGCAAAAAAAAGTGGAAGGGGAGGCGGAAAAGACGATGAAAGCGGAGACGGTAATGCAGAAAAGGGAGGCGGAAAAGGCAAAGAAAGAGGAAAGGGAGGCGGAAAAGACAAAGAAATCGGAAACGGTAATAGAGAAAAGGGAGGCAAAAAAGGCGGTGACGATAAGGAAGCTAAGAGGGGCAGAGGAGGCAAAGAAGACGGGGACGATAAGGGAGATAAGGGAGATGGAGGAGATAAAAAGGGCGGAGACAATAAAGGAAATAAGGGAGATGGAAGAGGTAAAAAGGGGGGAGACAATAAAGGAGTTAAGGGAGACGGAGGAAACAATGAAGGTTGGGGCGATAAGGGTGATAACGGTGACGGAGGAGGCAAAAAAGGCGGAGACGATAAGGGAGATAAAGTGGTCGGAGGGGGCAAAAAAGGCAGTGTCGATAAGGGAGACCACGGAGACGGGGGAGTCAAAGAAAGTGGGAGACCACGGAGACAAAGAAAGCGTCTAATATATATCTAATAAATATCTAATAAATGTACATTCAATATCTGTCAAATGTCTAATTTAAGAATTATTATATTCTTTCGTTTGCCACAAATAAAATTAAACGAATGTTAATCTCAGAATGATTGTAGTTGTGTTTTTGACAGAAAGATAATCCCCATTCTAAAGTCTCCATGTAATTAAATATACATTATGGGAGATTCGATAACGAGTTGGCAATTCTCACTATAATAGTTAAAAGCTAGATAATCTAAAGGCAATTTGCTGAAAATTTCATTCAAATTGATCCACTGTGAACCGAGAACTAAGCGGTTGAAATTTCCGACTAGCCTCGATCATCATTACTAAACTCAGTACGATAAACATCATAGTCTCGATTATCCATTTAATCATTAAATCGTCAAGGAAATTTATGCAGTAAATATACATAGACTACATATACATTTACTGGGGCGGGGGGGGGGGGGGCGGGGTCGAATGGTTAGCACGTGCGCGCTGTATCATTATCATAAAGCCTGTCATTGAGTCAACTGGCGTGGTTTCGATCCCCGGTTGTACATGACAAGGAGTGGGGTCGCCTGTCCAACCCCGTGGGTTTTCTCCGGGTCCTCCGCTTTCCTCCCGCTGCTAAAGACCCCTACGCGCAAGCGAATTATGTAAATATAATTAAAACCATATGTTAGTCCCGAAATGACATAGTTTGTGTCGAGTGGACGTTAAACCTCATCTCTCTCTCTCTACGCAAGCGAATTATGTAAATAAAATTAAAACCATATGTTAGTCCCGAAATGACATAGTTTGTGTCGAGTGGACGTTAAACCCCTCTCTCTCTCTCACTCTCTCTTTCTCTCTCTCGGCCTGGTTTCTCGAAACCATATGTAAATAAAATTAAAACCATATGATAGTCCCGAAATGACATAGTTTGTGTCGAGTGGACGTTAAACCCCTCTCTCTCTCTCACTCTCACGAGCGATATGTTTCCCACCCGAAAATGTCCATTTTGGATAAGAATTTTCTCTTTTGCTTTTTATTTTCTACTTTCTACTGCAGATCGCATTTTGAACCTGATACCCCGCCATACATTGTTACCAAATACCATCGCGTGTACCATTGTTGAGAGAGAGAGACAGAGGGAGAGACTGCACACATTCCAGTTTGTCCGTGTGCAAAATCTGATAATATTGTACAAGTGTAATTCTTGTGTATTGAATGCTCGTGGTTGAATAAATGAACACAGGAATCTTGTTGATAGTTAATATTTCTATATTCTTTGGTTATCTCTCTCTCTCTCTCTTTCTCTCTCTCTCGGCCTGGTTTCTCGAAATCTTAACTAAAGATAAAATCCAAATTTTAGTAGATACTTCAATTCTGATTGGCTAAGCACTAAAATCAACCTATACTATTCAAAAAAAGTAGGGGATATTTGATTTTGGGTGCATAATACTAAAATATGCAAATGACTACGAAAAAAGTCACTATAGAACCTAACAGAAGAAACATTTCCAGTTACATGTGACGCCCAAACGCACCAATAGCTACCGCATGGAATGCAGGCGATGCTTGGGATCATCATGGGGGTCCAACCCAAGATTTGCACGACTCTGACTTTGAATGTTACAGTCATTGTGGCATTGAATTCCAGGGTGGAAACATCAGTGTAATTGTTTTAGTGACCAGAAAACAAATTTTGATATGCGTCGGCTTACCCAAAATGAAAGGTTACGTGCCCTTGGCATGCTACAGATCGGCACAACACAGGCGGTTGTGGCGCGGACGATGAATGTTTCTCAGTCTGTCATAAGCAGGCTATGGTCCAGATACCGTGATACACAATCTGTACAGGACAGACCACGCTCAGGTCGACCAAGGGCGACAACTCAAGCCCAGGATCGATTTATCCGTACCTTGGCCTTGAGAAATCGTGTCATCACAGCAAATCAGATCAGCGCTCGTCTTCAAACAGACACTGGTGTGAGAATGAGTGGCCAGACGATTCGGAATCGACTGCATAGGGGTCACCTTCGCGCCCGACGTCCTCGCGTGATCCCTTGTTTGAGAGATCATCACATTCAGGCAAGACGTCGTTGGTGTAGGGATCGTCAACACTGGGATAATCGACGCTGGAGCAATGTGATGTTTTCAGATGAGTCAAGGTTCACTGTTGATTTTTTGGACAGACGTAGGAGGGTGTGGCGTCGTCGAAACGAGCGCTTCCAAGACGTTAACGTCATCAGACATGATCGATTTGGGGGTGGTTCTGTTATGGTGTGGGGAGGCATCACTGTTGCTGGAAGAACGGCTTTACATGTTGTTGCAGGGCGTGTTACAGGCCAGTACTACCGGGACAACATCTTGGCAGTCCATGTTGTGCCGTTCGCACGACGTCATGGCCGCCGTTTCATCTTCCAGGATGACAACGCAAGATGTCACAGGGCCAGGATCGTTACAGGTTACCTCCAACAACAGAACATCACCACATTACCTTGGCCAGCACTGAGTCCCGACCTCTCCCCCATCGAGCATGTCTGGGACATGCTTGGACAGAGGTTACGTCAACGTCAACAACGTCCTGCCAATGTCCAAGAACTTGGTGCTGCGTTGCAACAGGAATGGGACAATCTGGACCAAAATGACCTTAGACGTCTCATTAGGAGTATGCCACGTCGGATCAATGCTTGTTTGGCAAACAGAGGAGGATTTACCCGTTACTGACTTGGTTGTGATGCTGTGGTAACTTTGCTGTTTGACCCCGGGTATCATTTTACCCTTATAATGGTCAGTCTGTGCCTTACTTAGTCTAACGATCATTTGGAATAAATCGATGAATGTGAACTTCATTTCATTTTGTCATTTGTTTCTTCGTCAGTTTCATTAGGTGACTTTAATAACACTTAAAAATCAAATATCCCCTACTTTTTTTGAATAGTATATTTCCAGCACAATACGTTTTAACAGTAAATTATAAACTTGGTTTTAATTCTTCATTGATTAATGTACATCCTCACAAGCACTCACTTATATTTATAATATTGTTTAGATACAAACATATTTATGATTATAGTTTATATTAGATGCTTAATTTATTAAAATGATAATGATCTAATTTACTCTTTTATATATCAAAACAATAAATAGATGATAGATAATTATAAATACGTGTCCATATTGTATATAGCTGTCTCTACTGTATGTTAAATCCCGGGGGTTTGGATGGCTGAATGGTTAGCGTGTGCACGCTGTATCATAAAGTCTGTCATTGAGTCAACTGGCGTTGTTTCGAATCCCCGGTTGTACGTGACAAGGAGAAGTGTCTCCTGTCCAACCCCTTGGTTTTCATCGGGTCCTCCGGTTTCCTTCCACTGCTAAAGACCCCTACGCGCAAGCGAATTATGGAAATAAAATTAAACCATATGTTAGTCCCGAATATATATATATAGTTTGTGTCAAGTTGACGTTAAACTCCATCTCTCTCTCTCTCTCTCTCTGTTAAATCCCCGAACACGAATCGTATGGTGTGGTGTGGACTGGCCTTTATTCATTGATAACTTAATCCTTTATCGTTCTATAGTATTTAATGTTATTTCAACACATTGGAGTTTTTTCTATAAGTAATTGTAAATATAATCTTGCTGACTGTATTGACATTACGTCTCTGGGTAATATATAAACGGACATCCATTTTGAAACCAATCATAGATCTTTATTGCAGATGGGCGTTGAATGCATCAAGTTGACGTCGTGCTTGGAACTGTCAGTGCTTAGACATACGCAAAACGCCGGCAGCACTTGTACGTGTTTTGAAATGCTTCAATTGCATTTTTTCTTCGCTGTACTACTCTTTTGGATCCATTTAGCAACAACTGAAAGCTTAAATTATGATCTCTTTATTAAGCTTCATAAAGGGGAAGGCGAAACAATAGAAACCGTTGGCAAAGTTTTATTGCAGACGTCAACCAGAAGTCGACTAGCGTGTGCTCGCCAATGTCTTGAGAACGATACATGCTTATCATATACGTATGGGCACAATGATTGTCACTTGTTCGATGGTAAATATACTGCATCACCGGTTGTCATGACAACAGGAAGTCCACCAAAGGAAACAGATAAAGCTTACTACAATCGTGTAAGTACTGAAACCAGTTTTAGTAATACTCTTCTGTTGGTTCTTTGAACGACCCAATTTAAAGAAAAGGCCCAAAATCCCGCTAATTCAAGAAGGCCTTCGATCGACATAAAACTTGGCACGCGCGCTTCTTTTAGAAAATAGCGCATCGATTGGCGTTTTTTTTTTAAATTTTGAATGACGTCACCATTCATGTATTGCTGCGATATTGCAAATGTCCCTAAATCAAAAGAGGGGGACATGAAGCTTGGTAATTCCAAGATGGCTTCAATTACGTCACGAATCAGAAGTTCCTCGTGGTTCATATCAATATGACCATACTTTTATAATGGCGGTAATTAGAATCGCCAATGTGCACTGCCAGTGCCTATGTGTTAAAGTCGAGTCATTTTAAATATACCCCAACCGTAATTGAGACTTTAAGGCAAAGGACCTTTGGCTAAAAAGTCCCAGATTCGCTGGGTACCCAGTTTGACCGGAGAAATTACATATACAACAGGATCTTTGTTTTCACATGGGACCTGTTTTAAATGGTATTTTACTTTGTTATTGCAAAGCGCACCTGGAACACTTCGGTGAAAGAGGTGCTATACAGATTTAGTAAATAATAATAATAATAATATCAAATATCGAAATCCGTCAACCGATGCACAAGCATGCCAAGTTTTAAGTTCAAACTTTGATTCTGTATTATATTGTGTTAGTTAACGTATCGTTAAATCTTTGATTTTGTGTCGTATTGTGTTAGTTAACGTATCTTTAAATCTTGTGTTAGTTGACGTATCTTTAAATCTTTGATTCTGTGTTGTATTGTTTTAGTTAACGTATCTTTAAATCTTTGATACTATGTTATATTGTGTTAGTTAACGTATCTGTAAACGTTTGATTCTGGGTTATATTGTGTTAGTTAACGTATCTTTAATTCCGTGCTGTATTGCGTTATTTCACATATCGTTAATTCTTCCATTCTGTGCTTTATTGTGTTATATTCATTTCTGTATTAAAGACAGTTCGTCCCGTGTTGTAACCTGGCGTTTTATAGTCTGATATTCCGTTTGCATTAGTACAGGACGGAGGGTCTGGTAAGGAAAGGTGGACAGGGCGAACAAATCAGGGTCCTGTGCATACACTGGCTCGAATACCCCTGTCCGTCAAAATGTCACCCCCCCCCCCATAGCACACGGCATTAACGAGGTTTGTACAGAAGGGCAAGATGCTAAACCAATTTCATCCATGTTAGTCAGAGAGCTTAGGAGCTGATTTGAGATGGATATGGTCATGTAATAGTCTGATATTCCGTTTGCATTAGTACAGGACGGAGGGTCTGGTAAGGAAAGGTGGACAGGGCGAACAAATCAGGGTCCTGTGCATACACTGGCTCGAATACCCCTGTCCGTCAAAATGTCCCCCCCCCCGCCCATAGCACACGGCATTAACGAGGTTTGTACAGAAGGGCAAGATGCTAAACCAATTTCATCCATGTTAGTCAGAGAGCTTAGGAGCAGATTTGAGATGGATATGGTCATGTAATAGTGGCGATTCTGCAAAAATATCAAAAAGATCGTAGAGAATTTGGAAAAGCTACGAAGCAGTTACGAATAGTTTACGAATGAGTTACTATAATTCGTAGGTAATAGGAAGACAAATATGCCCGAATCGAATAGGAAGCTATTACAGACGATAAGAAGAGGCTAAGACAGGTTTACGATGAATCTACGAATTCCGAACTGCTACGAACAATACGAATGCGTAAAAACCAAATAAGAATCACTCACGAACTTCAAGAACCGTCTACGATTTATCTACGAATCGTTTGGATTCGAGACGATTCGTGGCATTCGTAGCAGATATCGTGGTGAGGCACAAAGGGTTTTGTTTCAAGAACCGTCCACGATTTATCAGCTAATCGGAAAAAGTTTGGATTCGGGGCGGTTCTTGGCATTCTTTGCCCACGTGAAGGCCGGACATTAGTGAGAGAGCTTAGGAGCAGATTTGAGCTGGATGTAAATAGTCCGGGGAAAGCATCAAATTTTCAACAAATTTAATGCTATTTATTACCGAATAAACTTCTCATTTTTGATAGGCACCACATCATCCGAAAATGGTATGGTGGCAATTTTGGATCTTCAAGAGTGCAGCAAGGCACAAAATTGTCTGAGCTTTATAGGTGGTTTAATGGTTGAGAGCAACACGTTAATTGAAACGAACAGCTTGAGACCATTAAACAACTTAAAATACAGACACTCGTACGTGCTTTCCAATGAATACGTCTCACGAGTCCAAAATTTTCACTAGTATAAATAATGTACGCTTGGCACATTTGAAATAATGATACGCCAACATCAAAGGATGACGTCGCATCTGTATTTTAAAACTAGTACTGTTGGACGGCTATGATGCTCTCCCCGTTAACCCTAATTGTATTAAGGGATACACTGAGAATGGCGGTAGTTACTCTCTGTTAACCCTAATTGTATTAAGGAATACATTGAGAATGGTGGTAGCTTTTTAAAGATACGGTCTCGCGATAGATTAATTAGGTTGAATAAGTTTTTGGTCCAAACATATCTTAAGCTTACTCTTCCGGACACCTGTTACCACTGTTTGTCGTGTAATTTGTACACGAGGAGCAGTCCATTTGCTGATTACACTATTTTGCTTGAATACACTATTTTGCCTATAACGTTTTTTAGGACTTCGAATTCTGTCTTATGGTTTGGATTGTTCGTACTTGGTTTTATTTTATTTCAAATCACACAGTTTGTACGCGATTCTTTAAGTATGTTTTGAAAATGGCGGAGTAAGAACTCTAATTTCATTTGTTTTTCAGATGTTTTTGTGAAAGTGGCGGAATAATAACCCTTTTCATTTGTTTTTCATTTATTTTTCAGATCTTTTGTGAAAATGGTGGAATAAGAACCCATCTTATTTGTTTTTCCAGGTGTTTTTTCAGCTATTTTATAAATTGACCGAATAAAGAAACCCATTTCATTTATTTTTCAGGTGTTTTGTGAAAATGGTGGAATAAGAAACACGACCAGTAATAAATGTGTATGTTTTAATAGTTATGTTGGCGAGCATTGTGAGAGATTAATGACAGGTAAAATGAATATGAATGTACTACGAACTGAAATGAAATGAAATGGGGTTTAACGTCCCACTGTTCTGCTCCAACTGGGCTAATGAAGACGGGCATACGCCATACAATGAGCTAATAGGGAGATTTTGCCCGGACATCGGCGCTACGGCCTACTCAAATCGAATTCCAACTGTCAAGGGATTTTTACGTGCACCCCAATGTGTACACGCGATCTCGGTCTTCCGTGCCACCCGAACGACTAGACATCTATCCTTGTCAGGCCCTCCACCCTGCACCACTGACAAGGGGAAACCACGCTGAAAATCCCGAAGAACTTTCTAGGCGAACACCTGGAGCTCCCTGTACTTAGCCATCGTGGCTCCCTGTTCTACGACGCCGCATGCGAGTATGGTATGCTCGGGGGATCCCGGTAGACGTTAATGTTATCGCGTAGTCTAGTTCTATATTTACGTCGTGTTTGATGAAACGGTGGGACATTGCCACACGCGACATTGGTGCATGAACTAGAAACATCAGGATATACTCTAGAAAGCACCATTGAGAGTTTTTCAAACAGAAATTCTCGTTCCCGGGGTTAGAGATCCGCTCCAGTACTCACTAAATAGGTGGCCCTGAAGGGTATAGGCCCAGGTACAGGTAACTCTGATCCTATAGTCTATGGTAAAAAGTATGCGATAAAATCTGATAAATGTGCTATGTTGAAATAGTGCCCGGACAGCCGTGTAACGGTCTACGAATTCCAACTGTCAAGGGTTCCTTTATGTGCATGTGAATCTGTACACCAGTCCAACGCCACTGACAAGGGTAACCATGCTGGAAAATGACAATGAACATGGGACGTCCAGGTTAGCGAGCCAACGTCTTGCTCACCGAGCCACCACGGACCTCCTGATAAAATCGACCTCTGCTTTCAAACCTCTTAAAGTTAACTTCACTGGTTTTGTTCTAAAAACACGACGTTTCGACAAGAATCCTCTGAACGTTATCAAAGCTCGACGTTTCGACAAGTATCCCCTTAACGTTATCAAAGCACGACGTTTCGACAAGTATTCTCTTAACGTTATCAAAACACGACGTTTCGACAAGTATCCTCTGAACGTTATCAAAAGACGACGTTTTGACAAGTATCATCTTAACATTATCAGAGCACGACGTTTCTCTTAACGTCATCAAAGCACGACGTTTCGACAAGTATTCTCTTAACGTTATCAAAGCATGACGTTTCGACAAGTATTCTCTTAACGTCATCAGAGCACGACGTCTCGACAAGTATCCTCTTAACATTATCAAAGCATGACGTTTCGCCAAGCATCCTCTGAACGTTATCAAAACACGACGTTTCGACAAGTATCCTCTTAACGTCATCAGAGATCGACGTTTCGACAAGTAATCTCTTAACGTTATTAGAGCATGACGTTTCGACAAGCATCCTCTTATAGTCGTGCTTTTGAAATAAACCCTGTGATTGTTTCCCATAAAAATTGTGTTCCGTTAAGGCAGTGATTCTCAACCAGTATCCCGGGGCACACAGGTGAACCGGGAGATCTTCTTAAGTGTGCCGCGAAATTTTGAACTGCACACTAAGACGATTTCTCACTAAAGAAGTCAGCTATTTGACTGATGAAATTCGAAACACTGCAATAAAGTAAGTTCATAGCTGTGTTTGACTTTTGATTCATTCTATGTATCTATGACTAGTCTGTGTCTACGGCTGTATACCGTCTATGACTTGTCATGTTTTTATTTTCCAAAATTCAAATATTTTTCATATATATTTAGCCAGGTGTGCCGCTATTTCTTCATGTGGCCCAGGGTGTGCCGTTGGCACAAAACGGTTGAGAACCACTGTGTAAATGTGACGAATGTGGTGTGCCAGTTCTTTTTGGGCAACCCGAAACAAGTTTCCACGTTTTTTGGAATGTATACATAGCTAACACCCATACTTGTATATTCTCTATATTTTGTCAGATTGTAGTGATGGATATTTAGCAGGACAATACTACGGACAAGATGCCGTATTTACAGTTAAACCTGATGCTGCACCCAACCCATTCGAGGTAAGGCTGCTCTGTTATTCCTGTGCATCCAATTTTGAATACCATTGGGTAGCTTCTGTACAACTGCCCAATCAGACAAAGGAAGCATCTGGCCAATTTCCCGGGGGACGTACATGACTCAGGCACGTATAATCTTTATAAGGAACGTGTGGGGTTTAAGTTTGGAGATATCATTCGGAGTTCCTAGGGGATCGTCATAACTCCTCAGCTTAGAGGCCGAGATAGAGACAACATGTTTCAGTCGTTAGGTCAGAGCACTTGGCTGGTCAAACTCAGGAGGTAGATATTATGACTCTCAATGTACTATCCTAATGTTGTATTTTATATATAAACTTAGTTATAACAAAACAGGGTGTTCCAGAATTATTTGATCATTGAAATAGTTTATATACAGCGTGAAAGTTCAAGACGATAGGGTCACAGCATTACAAATGAATGTATAACAAATGTGGTTTTTTTTCTATTTCAGGTGCGTTGTATTATGAAGACACACGGTCGATTGGTTTTCCAACGGCAGAAAGACGGTAACGTGAGTTTCAACCGAACATGGTCGGAATATAAAGAAGGATTTGGTAATGTAAGGGGAGATCACTGGTTAGGAAATGACAAGATTTACTACTTGACAAACAATAAGCATATGATAATGGCCGCCGCGTTTAACACGACGAACGTAACAAAGATGGTTTATTATAGAGATTTCCAGATCAGAAGCGAAGAACTGGATTACCAATTGTACTTTGCTGAGGCGATAACTATGCTGGACTCCACCCGATACGCTGGCGACTGTCTGAAACCATACAATGGTAGTTCTTTTACTACCAATAATAAACCCGAGTTGTCACCCACTTGTCCACAAAGGTTCAACGGGTGGTGGCGCCTCAACTGTTCTTCTTCGTGTAATCTGAATGGGGCTATACGAACCAATAAGAGCAGTTCTGCTTGCTTAAATCATAATGCCACTGATTCGTATGAGGCTATTTGGAATGCGTCTGCCGTGGTCGGATATGCGTTATTTGAAACGGTGATGCAGTTGTACACCGTTAACACCAACGAGAGCATTTTTCTGTAAAACCATACTAATGACGGAAAATAAACAACAACAAAAAACTTTTATTGTGTAGCTCTAATTCAAATCTGATTAAACTCTGATTCTATTTCGTTTCGTTTTCTATAATCAAGAATTTCATTAAAACTTCATTACACCAAGATCCAGGTGAGCAATCTGTTTCACAGAGGATTACGAAAGTCTTCTAATATCTCTGTAACATGACTGTTTCGACACGTGATGTCACATTACGCGGCGTCAATCATTGGCTCAATGGCGCGTGCATTGTTTACATAAGACGTTACTGATTCTAGGGAAATGGTGAATTTTACTTATTTTATTACCCATTTACACTAAATAAGAAATGATTTTTAGCTACAAATAATACAAACGCCTTTATTTATTTTTCTAATACATGAAAAAAATGTTTTAGAATTTGATTTGACGGGAAAAAAAAGTTAATACTATTAGTGATAATATTTATCCTTATCAATGATTGTAGCGGCCTAGCGAATATTCACTGCTGATCAGTGTGCCAGGTGAGTTGTTAAATAACCCGCGCTTTGATTGCTGTTAGGGATTAGCAAATCAAATGGTACGTTGAGTCGAAAAATGAATGTATTGAAAATTTGATTCAAATTTCTTTATCCTGAGCGAAGTTATGACTGTTTAAAGATGTAGCGTAGCTCGTTTATTATATAGTAGCTACTGAAATGAAATGGGGTTTAACGTCCTACTGTTCTACTCCGATTGGGTTATTATTTTTTGTTCGAGATTTGTTTTCGCTGTATGTTTCTAATGAAATGTAAATTCTGTAGGAGAACAAAATCAAAGGTAGATAATCTGCGGCTTGGATTCCATCGGATTAAAAATAGACACATCAAAAGCGCTGTTACCATAGATTGCAAATGAAAATGAAATGAAATGGGGGTTTAGCGTCCTACTGTTCTGCTCCGACTGGGCGGATGATGACTATGGCCTACTCTTATATCGAATTCCAACTGCCAAGGGATCGTCCAATCCGAACGACTAGACAGCTGTCCTTGTCAGGCCCTCCGTCCGGAACCACTGACAATGTCCCAGCCACGTCTGAAATTCCCGATGAACTTTCTCGGTCAATGCAGGGATGGAACACCCGACCTCCAGGCTAGCGAACCAACGTCTTACCCACTTGTGGCTGCAGCATAGATTCCAGGTAGCGCTCTGTCTTCATTAGAACGGTTCGTGAAGAAAAGGTGGAAGTTACATTCCCTTTTATTCCTTTCTTCCATTACAGGTAGTGCTTCCTATTGACCATATCCCGTTTATATCGCCCGGGGTCGGTGGGCTGGGGTGTGTCTAGTGGTTTAACGCGTGCGCCTGAAATCATAAGGTCTGTCATTGAGTCAAGTGGCGTGTTTGGTTTCGATTTCAAGCTTGTAGGTGAAAAGGGGTAGGGTCCCTTAAATGAGGTCCAGTGGCTTAAATGAGGTCCAGTGGCTTAAATGACGTCCAATGGCTTAAATGAGGTCCAGTGGCTTAAATGACATCCAGTGGCTTAAATGAGGTCCAGTGGCTTAAATGACGGCTAGTGGCTTAAATATGACGTCCAGCGGCTTAAATGATGTCCAGTGGCTTAAATGAGGTCCAGTGGCTTAAATGACGTGCAGTGGCTTAAATGACGTCCAGTGGCTTAAATATGACGTTCAGCGGCTTAAATGACGTCCAGAGGGTTTATTGACGAGACACAGTCTGTAAATATAAAACACTTAATAACCCCAAAAAAATTATTTTTATTATAAACTTTTACAATCAAGGCGAATTGTGAACAGCTACAGATACAAGGGAGATAATAACATTAGAAACCGGTAACAAGCATTGTAGAATTGATACGTTAGCACGCATAACTGCAAAAGATACAAGAAACGAGTTAAAAATAATATGCGTCTATACGTGGAAGTCAACATGATCGACTGCACATGCGTGTGTCTCCGTAGCAGAGTGAGTTTTCCATAGGTATGACACTCTCCCTGATCTGAGGTAACCCTAGATTATCATGGTTGACACATGCGCATATTAGATAATGACTTCTTTGTATATTCGCAAATTTTAAAATCTAAATAAATAAATAATAAAATAAAATCAAGACACATTCTGTTAATTTGTTAATGTGTAGAAAACAAATGTTTAAAATACAAACGTTCCGGGGTCGGAATTCATGCAATCTGATTAAAACACCGATCCTATTTCGTTCCGTTATTTTTATAGTTTAAAAATGTCGTTTTAATTGTCTTCACCCACCAGGATCTGGAAGAGTTGTTAAATAACCCGGGTTCTGGTTAACCCTTGCTCTGGGTGATATCAAGGATTAGCGCCAATCAAATGGTATGTTAAGTCGAGTTCCTATCGTGTGGCCGACGTGGTCTAGAGTGCCGCGCTTCGACCTCTAGCTGGCCGGTCACCTCTGGCTTGCGGCTGTGGTTTCGATCCCTGGTGTGAGCTTATGTGGCTGGAGATAGGGGCGCCTTCTCAACCTCTTGGGTTTACTCCGGGTACTCCAGTTTTCCCCCACAAGAAAGACGCCTGCGCGTGCGCTAAGATAATAAGAAAAACTGAAAAAGAAGACTTGTCTGCGATATCACCTTCGGTGGATGCGAACATTACACGCTAAAGACAGAACGGATCTTAATGTAGTGCGGGCCATCAAAAGTATAAATAAAGGACCCGAAATGTAGATCCGTATTTTAATCAGATTGGAATTCATGCGGTATTGCCATTAAGAAAGCATACTGATTTAATTGTTGACCTACTCAGAAGGATAAAGGTCACTAAAATTTTATATTTTCATATTAAAAGACACATATGTACAAGGCGATCACATATTTCGAGATTTACACAAAATTTTATAACACAAAATGCATAGCTTGGGGGTTGAGGTTGGGATGAATGCATAATTAAAGGGAGATTATGGCATTTTTTAAAATCTCTAAAATTAAAAGGAATATTACTTGTTTAATATTTTTTTCAGTGGCAATCCGGGGGGTTTGTTAATTCCAAAATAAAAGAATAAAAGAAACATAAACACAGATTGACCACATAAATTATAATACACAAAGCATAGCTTATGGGATTGAATACACATTTTAAGGGGGGATAACTGGAATTTAAACATCTCTATATTAAAAGTATTGTTTCTATGGCATTTAATAAATAAAAGGAATTTACACAATTCTATACAGGGACTATGGAATATAAATAACATTTTCATATCAAGCCACGCTCCTTTAGTGATTATTAAACTACACAAAAGCCATTTGGCCAAATCTAGAAAACCTCCGTAGCTCATCTCTCTATTGTGAGTGGTCAGTAAGTTGTAATAATATGCGCATGTCTGGCGTCGATCACGCATTTCAGTCTTAAAGCTGCAGTACAGGTACACTTCTAGGTACTGTTCTGCTACAACTGGGCCAATGAAGACGGACATACGCCATGCAGTGTGCTTTGGGGGAAATATTGCCCAGACAGCGGCGTTACGGTCTACTGTCATATCGAATTTCAACAGCCATGGGATCTGTTACGTGCACCCCAATGTATACAATGGACCTTGGTTTTTCGTACAACGTCTAAAGTTTTCCTTTAAATAACACATTGTGAAACATTGAGCTCTCAAAAATTCAAAATATCACCGTTTGTATAAGAAGTATCCGGACCCAGCTCACTGATACGTGACCGCCATTTCTGTCCCGTGATTTAACACAGCAATAGGGTTAGTGCTAAATGATAAGGTCAGCTTAGTGCTTGGTCAAAGGTCACCATATGTAAACAGGACTAGCGCTAATCCCAACCCTAACCCTGGACCTAGTCCCAATGCTTACCCTTACCTAAAATCTACCCAACAATAACGTGCCCTAACCTTATTTACATCTCAGCGACCTTGACAAAAATTGAGCTGGCCTTAACAAATAGATTTAACACAGCAATAGGAAGATTAGATACATCAGCTAGTAATCTACAAATAGCAATAAATTAAATTTACATGAAGGCACCCATAATATTAGTCTTATATATGCATAATAACTTATCTCCTATATATGGGTATGTTTTGCATATCGTTATATTGACCAATCAGTGTTTGTTTTGCATCTGACTATGCATCGGATCATATCATCAAAAATAACAAAATTATCCCAGACAAAATCTTAATCATTCATCATACCTCAACCAAAGCAAATATTATTAAGCGTGACCCAACACCTGGAGGATTTACATGTAACGCCATAAAAAATAACAAAATCATTAATACAATTGTTTTAATCATCATGCCCCTATTGACGTCAAAAGAAAATTCGATACGGACATGCGATAGGGACCAGGGATTTCCGCTTACCATAAGTCTCTATTACTAATCGCGAATTACTTAAAGGGTCAATAATCTAAATCGCATTCATTCAAATGTACCAATCTGACGGCATACTAAACACGCTGTCTGTCCACATTTAGCCCCGCTTAAGAACAGACACTAAGCTATTTGACCGACATTTTAAGACCTAAATGACCAATTTTAGTATATTTCGAGGATTTTGAGAAGTATATATTCTGCTTTCAGTTAATAAAATTGAAAAGTTTTTGTGCACTAATTGTTGAATATGGCGGCCATTTATGGTAGAGATGTATTCTCCTTGGTATCAAAGGGTCAAAGTTCTCAATTTTTATTTTCTTGTTAAAAGGAATTTGATTTTATAATTTAGGCCAAACCAACTGAAGTTTTAGTTCTTCGGGGTTGTGGTCAATAAATAAATACTACAGCCAATTCCTGTGTACGATGTTTTGTTAAAAGGTTAAAACTGAAATATTTGAAATTAAAACTTTTTTAAATTAGTTTTTATTTCCTGAAGAAATTGGGGGCAGAATTTTTAATAGGATTTCCCGAAGAACAGAAATTTAAAGTGATGTAGCCTAAGGATATTTTCGTTTAGCTGTGCAATGTCACTTACAGGCAATATAACTATGTATATTAATTATAAAACTTGAACTAGGACCTATACATTACTATTCACGAAAACAAAATAAAACAAACATAAACACAGAAGCAAGAGTTAATGTGGAACCAGAGTAACCTCCCTTGGAGACTCCATTCATACATCTGAAAGGCAAGCTGCAGTTATTTTCATGCTCCAACACATCTTGACATATTTTCGCTTTTTGTTTCATATTTAAGCTAAAGTTCACTTCCGTTTGGTTTTCATCACTGAAATTAAGTTCGGCGTCGTCAATTTGCCACATATGGTTCGAGAAGGTTTTGCTCATGGTGAACTGGGTGTTGTTTCTGAAGTATTCTTGACTTCCGGGTGACACGAGCTGCAATGTTATGGTGCATGTTTGTGTTCGACTGTAAGGGTCGGTGGGACACAGGGTGGTGATGATCTCTCGACGGTGCCACAGGATATAACCCTCAGAACGGATTGTTACCGTGGCAGGAAACATGGCCTTTGGTGGTAAAACACTGAAATATATATACATTTTAAATGTGGGGTTATTAAATTCATTTACCCCCCCCCCTTTTTTTTGCTGTAGTGGCTTAGTATACATTATGTATTGGAGCAGGTCTAAACACTAAAGCGACCTGCAGATTTCGTCAAGGTCACAAGATGTAAACAGGATTGGGGCTCAAGAATTTTGCCCAGGATTGTTGGTTAGGGTAAAGGTTAGCGCTAGGTCTAGACTTAGGGTTGGGGTTGGTGCTAGCCCTGGATAGATAAGTCACGATTCTCCTCACACCACCTCAGTTGACGGAATTGCAATCGTGTAACGCGGAATACAGTCCCTTCACAGTTCTGTCAGTCACAACTGATGTTGTGTTGAGTAGAATCGTGGCGTAATTAAACACAACAAATATGCTTCAGCTGTCATGGTTGGTTGAGATATTTTCTCAGGCAGTCGGCACAAGCGTTCTTGTCCCAAATTCCCATTTTCACTCGATTGTCACTCTTTTTGGGTTTGACAGAATTCAGTTCCGCAACCTTCAATCGATCATCCCCTATAACGGTACTGAATTCCGAGTCACGTGATTCCTATTGCGTTGATTCAGAACGTTCTGGGCGACAACCTATCAACCAAAATTTCCAATTAAAGGGAGACAACTCAGTCAATTCTCAGAGATACAATGTCTACACTCTGTTATGCTATATTAGACCCGATTTAGCGTCTCGGAAATATGAAATGAAATGAAATGGAGTTTAACGTCCCACTGTTCTGTACCGACTGGGCTAATGAAGACTGGCATAGGCCATACAGTTTGCTAAGAGGAAGATTTTGCCAGGACAACATTACATCTTGCAGTTATACATCGTCTTCAGTACGTCCAGGCGGCGGCGAAGCCCCATCAAATATTTTTTTGGATGACATTATAGATCAACAGGGAAAAAGACTTACGCATTAGAATAAGTGAGTTCCGGAGACCAAACTGTAGAAACGTTGGTTGAGATCTGGCGAACATTATTAGGATACCAGGCCAATCTTTTATCGGTCCAAGTCTAAAAAATAAAACATACAATAATATAAACTTTGTAAATCTTCCAATGTTAAAACAATCGGGCTATCGAAGACGGGCATACGTCATACAGTGCTCTATGGGGGGGGGGGGGTGATGATTCCCGGACAGCTGCGATACGGCCCATTCTTATTTCAAATTGCAACTGTCAAGGGTTATTTTATGTGCACCTCAAAGTGTACACCGGACCTCGTTTTTTTTGGTACCATCTGAACGATGGTTATTTTTCGTGAAAGTCAATGTAACTGCCCGGTCCGAGTTATTTTATATGCACGTCAATGTGTACACGGGGTCTCGTTCTATTTTCTCCCATCCGAACGACTAGATACTGTTCTTGCAACTGCCAAGGGTTATTCTACGTGAAAGTCAATGTGTATACAAGACAATAATATAAACTTTGTAAATCTTCCAATGTTAAAACAATCGGGCTATCGAAGACGGGCATACGTCATACAGTGCTCTATGGGGGGGGGGGGGTTAATGATTCCCGGACAGCTGCGATACGGCCCATTCTTATTTCAAATTGCAACTGTCAAGGGTTATTTTATGTGCACCTCAAAGTGTACACCGGACCTCGTTTTTTTTGGTACCATCTGAACGATGGTTATTTTTCGTGAAAGTCAATGTTGCTGCCCGGTCCGAGTTATTTTATATGCACGTCAATGTGTACACGGGGTCTCGTTCTATTTTCTCCCATCCGAACGACTAGATACTGTTCTTGCAACTGCCAAGGGTTATTCTACGTGAAAGTCAATGTGTATACAAGACCTCGGTTTTCCGTACTATCCGAGCGATTAGATACTATATTACTGCCCGGTCCGAGCTACCCCTACTGTGGTCTACTGTTATTTCGAATTCCAACTGTCAAGGGTTCTTTTACGTGCACCCCAATGTGTACACGGGACCTCAGTTTCCGTCCCAGCCGAACGACTACACCACTGGCAAGGATGAACCACGCCGGAACAATCCGATGAAACACGGGGCCTCCTGGTAAGCGATCCAACATCTTATTCAATGAGCCACCGTGGCTCCCAATAAAATAATGACTTTTAATTTAAAGATACATTATGGGAGATAAGATAAAAAGCTGCCAGTTCTCACTATAATAGTTAAACACTAGATAATGTAAAGTCAATTTGCTGAAAATGTCAGTCAAATTGATCCACTATGAACCGAGAACTATGCGATTAAAATTTCCGCCTAGCCAGTACTAAAGTCAGTACGATAAACAGCAGTCTTGATTATCCATTTAATCGATAAATCGCGAAGGAAAGTTAATAATTGATAATTTAGATAACATTTCAGGCCTAAAGAAAGACCTGCGATAGACAGATTTAGCACTTGCATAATGTATGTTTAAGAAATTGTGAAATATTAAAAATAATAATGACATTCTTTTTTAACATAATGATGATATTCCATTTTAAGTACTTAAACATACTATATTTACCAGTTAAATAACCGATATATTAATGACTTGTGATATGTTTAATATAATAATGACTCAATATTTGAAATAATAATCACTTCCCATTTTACGTATCGGTGAAATATTTGAAATAGTGATATGTTTAAAACAATGATGACCCAATCTTTGAAATAAATCGAAATCGAAAACTAAATAGATGCCACATATTAATTAATTGCATATTTATCTTTTTCAAAAGTATCGAGTAATTAACTGATTATCTATATTTCGTTTAAGCATAAAATGTTCACGATCAAACTCAGTCAAGGTTTTGAAGTACCTGGTAGTGAAACTATAATATGCTTATCTCTGCTTAGTTTTAGTGGAAAATGTACATGATTGAACTCTGTCATAATAATGACTCAACATTTGAAATAATAATGACTCAACATTTGAATTAATAATGACTCAATATTTGAATTAATAATGACTCAATATTTAAAATAACAATGACTTAATATTTGAAATAATAATGACTCAATATTTAAAATAGTATGACTCGATATTTGAAATAATGACTCAATATTTGAATTAATAACGATTCAATATTTGAATTAATAATAACTCAATATTTGAAATAATAATGACTCAATATCTGAATTAATAATGACTCAATATTGAAAATAATAATGACTCAATATTGAAAATAATAATGACTCAATATTTTAAATAATAATGACTCAGTATTTTAAATAATAATGATTTTCCATTTTAAACATCTGTGAAATATTTGTAATATACTATTCAAAAAAAGTAGGGGATATTTGATTTTTAAGTGTTATTAAAGTCACCTAATGAAACTGACGAAGAAACAAATGACAAAATGAAATGAAGTTCACATTCATCGATTTATTCCAAATGATCGTTAGACTAAGTAAGGCACAGACTGACCATTATAAGGGTAAAATGATACCCGGGGTCAAACAGCAAAGTTACCACAGCATCACAACCAAGTCAGTAACGGGTAAATCCTCCTCTGTTTGCCAAACAAGCATTGATCCGACGTGGCATACTCCTAATGAGACGTCTAAGGTCATTTTGGTCCAGATTGTCCCATTCCTGTTGCAACGCAGCAGCAAGTTCTTGGACATTGGCAGGACGTTGTTGACGTTGACGTAACCTCTGTCCAAGCATGTCCCAGACATGCTCGATGGGGGAGAGGTCGGGACTCAGTGCTGGCCAAGGTAATGTGGTGATGTTCTGTTGTTGGAGGTAACCTGTAACGATCCTGGCCCTGTGACATCTTGCGTTGTCATCCTGGAAGATGAAACGGCGGCCATGACGTCGTGCGAACGGCACAACATGGACTGCCAAGATATTGTCCCGGTAGTACTGGCCTGTAACACGCCCTGCAACAACATGTAAAGCCGTTCTTCCAGCAACAGTGATGCCTCCCCACACCATAACAGAACCACCCCCGAATCGATCATGTCTGATGACGTTAACGTCGTGGAAGCGCTCGTTTCGACGACGCCACACCCTCTTACGTCTGTCCAAAAAATCAACAGTGAACCTTGACTCATCTGAAAACATCACATTGCTCCAGCGTCGATTATCCCAGTGTTGACGATCCCTACACCAACGACGTCTTGCCTGAATGTGATGATCTCTCAAACAAGGGATCACGCGAGGACGTCGGGCGCGAAGGTGACCCCTATGCAGTCGATTCCGAATCGTCTGGCCACTCACTCTCACACCAGTGTCTGTTTGAAGACGAGCGCTGATCTGATTTGCTGTGATGACACGATTTCTCAAGGCCAAGGTACGGATAAATCTATCCTGGGCTTGAGTTGTCGCCCTTGGTCGACCTGAGCGTGGTCTGTCCTGTACAGATTGTGTATCACGGTATCTGGACCATAGCCTGCTTATGACAGACTGAGAAACATTCATCGTCTGCGCCACAACCGCCTGTGTTGTGCCGATCTGTAGCATGCCAAGGGCACGTAACCTTTCATTTTTGGTAAGCCGACGCATATCAAAATTTGTTTTCTGGTCACTAAAACAATTAAACTGATTTTTCCACCCTGGAATTCAATGCCACAATGACAGTAACATTCAAAGTCAGAGTCGTGCAAATCTTGGATTGGACCCCCATGATGATCCCAAGCATCACCTGCATTCCATGCGGTAGCTATTGGTGCGTTTGGGCGTCACATGTAACTGGGAATGTTTCTTCTGTTAGGTTCTATAGTGACTTTTTTCGTAGTCATTTGCATATTTTAGTATTATGCCCCCAAAATCATATATCCCCTACTTTTTTTGAATAGTATATTAATGACTTTTCATTCTAAGTACTTGTTAAATATTTGAAGTAATAATGACTCAAATATTTGAAATAATGATGACTTTCCATTTTAGTCATATTTAAAATATTGAAATATTTAAAATATTTTACTCTAATAGTTGGAATAATAATAACTTTCCATTTTAAGTACCTTTAAATATTTGAAATAATAATTACTGGAATATTTGAAATAATAATTACTTTCCATTTCAAGAACCTGTGAAATTTCTGAAATAATAATGACTTACTATTTTAAGATCTATTAAGCTCTCCATCTCCTGTTTCATCAAATCAATATCTCTAATGTGCCATAAAGTACCGGTTAACGTCACGGAAACTTGATTCGGCCATTTTTCAGGTGGACGAACTTTAGCGTTATATTTATGTAAAATGGTGCTGTAAATTTGACTGGCTTCTTCTAAATATGCATCCGGGTCATTACTCTGACTTGATACACTGGAAATAGAAAGTGGAGAGATTAGCTGTTAAATTAAAATTTATTATAATGAGAACAGTTGACCATGGTGATTTCAGGATTTAATTCCTTGCAGTATCAACAATCGACGTTTAGTAATTTTAAACAACCGTCATCCTCGCCTTGGCTCAGTATAAAACATATTTGTATCTTTCTGTCGTCGCGGGGGTCGGAGGGGCCTCATAAGTGGAATAGCTTAGGGCCTCACTTTATGGTCAGATATAAATATTAAGGCGATCTGCAGATTTCGTGAAGGTTACAAGATATAAACAGGATTAAGGCACGTGATTGTTGCCGAGAATTGTTAGGGTAAAGGTAAGGGTTAGGGATAGAGCTAGGTCTAGGGTTATGGCTAGCCCTGTTTACAGCTCGTGACCGTGACGAAATCTAACACTGGTTGCAACACAATATCTCAAAACATAGTCACAGCAATCAAATAATAGTATAGGTTTTAAACATACACAATATTATGTTTTATTTATGTTGATTAGTCTATAATATAAATTTGAAATTACTTTGCCGGAAGCTTTCCCTGAATTACCACAATGAAATTTCTCATAATATTAAATATCTCATAAACCACAACGAAATTAAATTATTATTGGAATCATTGTAAAACTGAGACACATTTTATGAAATACCACACAGTATCTCTTGGTGGTAGTAAGTTTCTTGGCATCCTATATTTATATTTAAAGGACCCTGTTTGCTATCCAGTTTGTGTTTTCTTCTGGTGCATGTGTAGCTAGATGTAGTCATAAAATGTTGATATAAACTTGCTGCAAGTACAGGGCATTGTCAATGGGACCTGCTGGTGGTAATGTATTTCCTGGCAACCTATATTTATATGTAACGGATCCTCTTTGCTATTTAGTTTGTGTTTTACTTTTAGCTACATTAATAGTTAGATATTGTCAAATGATGTTGTAGAATTCCTACAACTAAAATTGTCAATGGAACTATTGACAAATATTGAGCATTTTACCCAAATCTCACAAAGCACCTTGATGGTAGTAGTATGTTTTTTGGCAACCCCTATGTATATCTAAGGGATATCTTTTTTTCTTTTTGGTACATATATAGTTAGATTTTGTCATTAAATTTTGATAGTAACTTGCTGCAGCTAAAATATAGGACATTTAGTCCATGGAACTATAGCAAATGTTTGTCGTATTTTACCAATAGCCGAATATTTCCTGGCAACCCAGGTTTTTTAACAGGATCTAATTTGCTATAAAGTTAGTGTTTTTCTTTTCGGTACATGTTGATATAAACTTACTGCAACCTAGCTAAATACAGGTCTAACAAATCCTTGTGATTTTTACCATATTGATGATAACAAGGTCTATTTTGGAATGTTATCAACAACGGCTTACTAGTGTTACAGTGTTTAAACACGGGATTTAACATGACACTGTTGTTTGTATTACACCTACTGAGTCATGTACCTCCATCAGAGAAGGTATCTTTAAGAGAGAGAGAGAGAGAGAGTCGGTCTTAGGTTCAGTACACACATAGGCGGGAACGTTTACGATCCCTTGGCAGTTGGAATTTCACATATTTAGCAGGCCGTACCGCTGCTGTCCGGGCAGATTTTTCCCCATAGCACACGCCGAAGTAGAACAGTTAGCTAGTTAACTCCTTGTCTTTTCATTTCATTTTTAAATAAAACAAGATAATTAGAAGGGACGTCTATCTATTCCCTCCATTTCTACTGCCTCGACCCTGTCTCCCTGTGTAGCTAAACTGTTAAACACATTCTGCACACACAGAACTATCTACTTTGATAATAGATCTCTGCCCTGATTGGACGCCATATTGAAAAATGAGCGTACTATTTTGTGACGCCTTTCTAACCCGCTTTACACCTTTCATACACATATAGACTAATAAAGATTTCATTCAATGGAAGCGGAAAAAATACTTTTAAATATTCTCGAAGTATACTTAGTGATTGCGACTAAAATCGATTAAATTAAGAATAATGTCCGTGAACAAGCGTAACTTTCGTATGTGCTTAACATTGCCTTCAAAACGGCAATACTATATACCGGAAACACCGGAGAACACAGGAAAACACCATTTTATACTGAATACCGGAAAACACCGGAAAAACACTAAATACCGGAAAACACACTAAATACCGGAAAATACCCTAAATAGATAACCCGGAGACTGGCACCCTAAATAGGTAACCGGGAGCCTGGTCATCTGTGTGCCTGGGTTAGGGTTAGGGTTAGTTTTAGTCTTAGTTTCCGTTTTATAGTATAGCCCTTCTCCGGGTTACCTATTTAGGGTGGTTTCCGGTATTTAGTGTGTTTTCCGGTATTAAGTGTTTTTCCGGTGTTTTCCGGTATTCAGTATAACATTTTTTTTCCGGTAGTTTTCCGGTTGTTTTCCGGTGTTTTCCGGTATATAGTATAGCCCCTTCAAAACATGTAATTTAGTGTTTCCGACCAAAAACGTCGAATTAGGAATTGAAAATGTCGGTAAACTAGCTTCGTGTCTGTTCTCAAACGGAGCTAGTTGTAGACAGACAATGTAACTTTCGTATGTGCTAAACACTGTCTGCAAAACATATGATTTATGTAATTTAGTGTTTTCGACTAGAATCGTAGAAATAAAAATAATGTCAGTCAACGAGCTTCGAGTCTGTTCACAAGCGGACCTAGTTGTAGACAGACAGCGTATATTCGTATGTGCTAAACATTGTCTGCAAAACATATGATTTATGTTATTGAGCATTCGGTAATTATCGTTGTTTCTTTTAGAAGTAAAACATCAAAGGTTACAAAATTAATCCATCATAACACGCGTGCGTCATGACACCATAACTAAAACATTAGACTAATTTCAGCCTCATTTGCTTAATTACATTTTCTGGTATAAAAAATCGTTCTACTTATGAATAATAACGGTTGGGTATGTCTATACATACGATGTGTTTATAATATGTTTATTCTGTTTTGTTACGGTTGTTGAAACGTCAAAAAAAGAGCGCCGATGAGTCATTCGGGTTGGGTATCGGTTTCTCTGTGAACAAGTGTTGTTAGATTTAATAGATTTAATAATGTGAATTATTTGAGAAATTCGCGTGCATGTAAAAGATCCGTTGTCTGTAAGATTTCGATATAAGAGTAGGCCGTGACGCGGCTGTCCGGGCAAAATTTCGTATGCCCGTCTTCATTAGCCCTGTCGGAACAGAACAGTAGGACGTCAAACACTATTTTATTTCATTTTCATTTGAGAAATTTATCTTTAGTCTTGTATAGTTTAGCCTTCTTACGTGTGGCATGCTTCACTGACAAAATGATATAATTTGTTTAAAAGGTGATTATATCTCCAAAGAACACGAATTACTGTAAGCTTAAAATAATCAACAATTATACACCCCCTTTCCATTGCGCATCTTTGCCATGTTTTACCAGAGGCACTAAATAGTCTAGGATTTCTGAAAGCAATGTCTGATGTGTTAAAACGCATGCGTTCACTGTAGCCTATTGCACATTAAAGTTCATATTCTGCAGGGGTGTTTATTTTTAAATACCCCAAACAATATAGCTGAACAACCAACATTTTAACTTCACGACTTCGTATTTGTAGCAGCTCGTTAGGTTGAAGCGAAGATGACAGTTGGATTTTGTTGTCCTACTACCAACCAGCGCACCACCTAACTGTATATCAATTAATCCTGTATTTCTTGCATAGTTTTTAAGTTTTGGAATATTAAAATGACAATATTCGCCATATTGTATTTTAAACTAACAAATTATATGGATGTAAAGTTATTTAATCTGACACTTATCTTTATTAAAGGTCGCGATGTGCATTCGTTGGGATGTTCTTGGGAAGGTTTAGAGACATGTATGACATGGGCACCCCTATCAATCTGTTTCACAGGGTATTACGAAAATCTTCTAATAGCTCTGTAAAAGATGACTGCCTTCACCAAATGACGTCATATCACGCGGCGTCAATCATTGGCTCAATGGAGCGTGCATTGTTTACATAAGACGTTACTGATTCGAGCAGAATGGCGCCTTTTACTCATTTTAATACCCATTTACACTAAAATAGGAAATAATTTTTACCTAAAAATACTTCAAACATCTTTATTTATTTTTCTAATATCTAAAAAAAATGTTTTAGAATTCAATTTGTCCGAGGAAAAAAGTTAATATTTGTGACTCATTCAGTCGCATCGATGACATCCTATCAGTGATTGTCGCGGCCTAGCGATTCACTGCGGATCAGTGTGTCCCCCTATATATTAAATGCTGTTAGTTTCAAATACATGGACAAACATTGTCATTTTAATATTCTAAATATTATGTCATCTGAACTTTAACTTTTTTAAAGGTCGCGATGCGCATGCGTGGGGGTGTTCTTGGGAAGGCTTTCGTTCTGTATGACATGGGTCCCCTATGTTAAATGCTGTTAGTTTCAAATATAGATGGACAAATATTGTCATTCTATAACTAACAAATTATTTAATCTGACCCTTAACTTTATTAAAGGTCGTGATGCGCATGTGTTGGGATGTTCTTGGGGAAGGTTTGAGACCTGTATGACATGGGTCTCCTCCTATGTTAAATGTTAAATGCCGTTAGTAAAATGCTTTGTCGTGGTTGATATGTTTTCACATCTAGGCATGTATTACCCAAAATATGTACATGTAGTTAGACACTAATACACATAATTGCCTCTAAATACCCCGTAAGTATCCTGAACTATAATTATAGATGAATATAGGTAATTATTAGTTATTAAATATTCAACCATGACACTGTAAATCATACTAAAATGCTTATAATATTACACATGGATATTATGTCACAGCAGTAGAATATTCCCAAATTTCAATTCCTAGACAGCTGATTGTAATTAGCAACAATTTCAATAGGTTGCCAGACAACCAGACAGAAAGGCCGAGAGAGAGAGAGAGAGAGTCTACCCAAATCCTGTGTAGGGGTCTTCAAAA